TACATCCGCTCCCCTCTTAAGACAAAGCTCGTCTCGAGCGGTTTCCTTTCAGCTCGCCAGAAGATCACATTCATCCATCGCTTTCTCACATGGCACATTCACTCTCAATGGGGAGGCCGGTTCTTCTATTTTACCGGCTCCTCTTCTGTGCCCTGCTCCTTTTTCCGTTTTGGAGGGGGTCGACCCCTCCATAGTGTCCAATCCTTGTGTTGCCGTAGGCTGACAGAGGATCCAACCATTCCCTTCGCGATCTTCTCGCTGACAATTTCGTAGATGGTCTTCTTACAAATTCTCCCTTCTTGGTGCGATCGCTGTACTGACTTACACCCTCCGATGACGTCCTTGGTTGTCACCTTTTCCGTCTGGCATCCGAAGGTTCCCTGGGGAATTTCCTTCTTGAAGTCACTTCTCCAACGTCGTGCCACTGTCGCGCGACGGGATATCTTCCTGCAGATGGCAGCCAACTTTATTCGGGACGCATGATCTCCTCGGGTCCAAGATTTCCTGAAGATGTTCCTCTTGCGCCATGCCACTCTTGCAGAGCGGGACACCTTCCTGCTGACGACGGCCAATTTATTCTGGAGTCCGCAATTTTTCCGTGTCGGGTTCTTCATAATTCGTCGCTTTCGGTCCCTACGCCTTTTCTTCTTCGGTTCTCCGACCGGCATTACTTCGGCGTCTTCTATGGGTACCTCTCGTAGATCTGCCGCCTCAGGTTTCCTGTGCACTGAAGCCGGCTTTTCTTCTTGTTGACGTGCCTCCGTTACTAGGCAGGCCGTCGTCTCTCCGACCGGTATAACTATGGGGACCACTTCTTGTTGTGCCGTTGCAGGTTTCGCGTCCACTTGGCAGGCCACCGTCTCTTCTTGGGTAATCGGCATCAATTCATCTGCAGGTTCACTGACCGGTATCACTGCGACGTCGTCTACAGGGACCTCTCCTTGTTGTGCCGTCCTTGCTTGGATGGCTTTCGTCTCCGCTTGGATAGCTTCTCTTTCTGCGGCCAACTTTTCTCGCCAGGCTTTCCGGTCGGCGCGTGCTTCTATGTCGATAGCCCTAATCTCTTTCAGCATTTCTAGTATTAGCTGAATGTCTTGCTCCTCCATTTCCTTTTTTTTTAAATTCAATACTTCTTCCTAAATCAAGGCGTGTTTAGGCTCGTAAAATTCTGACACCAAATTGTCACGTGTCTTGAGTTCGAATCTCGTTGATCACGTGTGTAAGTTCAAATCCCGTTGATCACGTGTGTAAGTCCAAATCCCACTTCTGACACCAGTTGTCGCGTATCGGGCTTATATTGCGACAAATAAATTCTCGCTGTATTTTATATAGCGAATTTTATTTCACATCCGCTCTCACAATCACCCAAATTACAATCTGACGATTACTGCTATCTGCAGTATCACAATTAGTACACTCCAAATGCCAGAATACAACTGACTGGCTGACTCTACCTCTCGACTCGGCGGCTGTCACAGTACAACTCTACTCGGCGACTGTTACTGTAGAACTCAGTACAACTCCTGCGGTAGCCACACTAGAACTGAACTGGTAATTGCTATGCAGCTCACTTATATAGCTGCAGTACTTGCCTGTTGCGTAATGAGTGCCACGTCACAGTAGGACGTTGATTACAGGCACGTAGCGGTGCGCATTACGTCACCGCGTGACGTCACCGCGGAGGGCTGGCGGGGAGCGCTACGTTACCGTGGGGTGGAGGGGGGAGGAGAGCGCTGACTTACCCGCCGCGTCACTGCTGGTGGGGGGGTGGTTCTCCTTAGCGCACATGTTACTCTACTTCTATCCTCAGGGTTGAATATTCAAGAAGAACCCTCTTCCTCCAAATCATCGGTAACCACCAACATTACAAGAAAACACAGTGTCATAATGCAGACATCACCATGTGAACAAATGTTTTTCATAACTGGTGCAAATATCAGAGAGTATGTGCCATTGTAGTTGAACGACTTTTAAAATGAATAAAACACAATAATGATTAAATATATTAGAAAAAAGATACAAAATTGATGCAGTAAATATATTCACCTTTTTGTCTGGTATGAAGTTCTCCTCAAATAGTGATTTTCCATGATCCAAAACAAGACCTCTCTTGATCACATCTACAATTAATTCTTCATAATTGTTCCTGTTTATGCTGTAAATACATTAAATAAATATTAAATATTTATCATACAAAAATCTAAAGAAAATTCATTGCCTAATTTTTCATTAGAATTTCAATTCTATAGCAAAGTGATATAAATTCTCTAAAGTAGAATATCTTTGATTGTGCATCATTATCATGCTCAACATGATTTACATACACAATACATTTTTGCTTTTTTGAAATTTGGTATTAAATTGTGTAACCTATATAGGATTATCTATAGGAACACTATACTGGAGACCTTACTGTTCACACAGGACATTTCTTCTGCAAGTTTATGTTTTCTGCACCCCAAAAAGATATTTTACAGAGAATCTAGTACTATACAAGGTGAAAATAAAGACTGGTACAAAGGATAACCAACAGTGTTATAATGATATCATACAAATACATTTCAAACTTGAAGTCATTTTCTCCTATGTGATAATTACAGTTAAAATATCCCTGTTACATGTATTTACACAACTAGCGATATACATATATGTTCTGGCTGAGGAGGTAGTTTCAACTGCATTTCAAGGAATGTTTGGATTATGTGACTGTACCGAACTTGACAGATCATCATTAATCGGTTCATTACTTCAGATACATACATATGTATGACACTCATGCATTTCATTATGAAACCCTTGGGTATTCAGCTCAGGATATTTTTTCAATAAATGCCCTGCTTTTTAACTATTAAGGGAGGCTTTGTTTTTCATTTGAACTGTTTAGTTCATACAAACAAAAGTACCCATTCGTGGCCCAGGACATGGTAACTTTTCTTGTCAATGTCACAAGATATAGCAGACAAATTACATAGAAGGGATAACAGTCAAATAACACAAACATATGATGAATACTCTTCATATCTTAATAAAGCATACTCATCAGATTAAAATCTGAGAATGAGGATTCAAGTTTTATCCAAAACTTCATTCATCTTTTTCACATTGCTTTAATATTTGTAGCCATTCAACATACTGGCACAAATGCAGGGTACATTTCTTAATAGCTTTGGGTGTTGTGTATTAGATTTGTTATAAGAAACAGACAAGAAAGTAACAATTTTATCTGTTACATTAATGAACTGGATGGGAGATGCTAAGAAACAAGTCAGATTTAATAAGAATTGACTACAGTAAACATGTCATTCACCTAGATTTCAATGTGCTACATGAAAAGTTTTGGGTCACTGATAATCTTACACCGGGGTGGTATTTTCACTTAGACCATGAAGGTGAAGGCTGCAGATTCCCCACAAATGCTGATACCTACATACTGAATGATATAGTGTCATAACTCAGAAATCCGTTATCTTCGTATTTACCTCTTTTGAGAACTCCAAGCTCATATGCATATAGCAAAGGTTTCTCTTATCCTTAACTGAAACCTACTTTGAATTATATGTAAAGGTTCAAGCGTATGCCTTATCCTTTAGATATATTCTAGTTAAACTTCCTCTAATTCTACAATACCGAAATGTACTAAACCTTCTCAGGTGTTGGCCATTTGGATTCCAGCTCATCTTTATAGAGAGCTCTTAAGGGTCCATCCGAGCCCTGGCATGGTTTCCACTCTGTATAACAAGCTTGAATCACTGCTGGTGTGCTCATAACCCTGGTCATTCCAGGCGGAGATGCAGTAAAGTGTCTCGTCCTCCTCCAGCAGTCTCTTAGTCTGGCTGAAGTAACTGCAATGTACACACTGTACCACTATTCGTATTAATCTGCTTATACATTTGGCAAACATTCCATTCCTTGGATTAAAATGAAGTGACTTGATGGAGCAAAGTCCTTGAAAAGTTGACAGTCTTTATCATCTGGCCATGAAACGACTTCAACATCTCTAACCTCTGTATGCATTACAGTACTCATAAGATTTTGCAGCTGGACCTTGTCATGAACCACCTGAAACAGGAGCACAACCTCAAACCTTCTTTTTCAATTTTATGTTCCTTGTATAGGTCTCCCAAGTGATGTCTTTCCTTTACTATATTTCAATGCATTCATCCATCTCACAGTGCTACATGCCCAGCCTATTTTATTCTCCTTGATGTGACACACACAGGTTGAAACTGTTCAAGGTTTAATCTGGATAGGAGACAAATGATCACTATATAACTGTATACAATCATACAGACTTTAATTGTACAGATGTAGTCAGTTCTACAAAATGTTTCAGTCACTGAATGACCACTATCAGGTGGATACTGGAGAATAACCAGGGGTTTACTGTAGTGACAGCATTTTTATTTTCTACACAGCCATTACCCATTTCACTAGACACCAAAACCCTAACAGTTCTCACCTGAAGAAGTCTGGAGACACATCCAGACTTCTTCTGCAATAATTACGTATCTGGCATTGGGAAATACGTTGAATGTTGCTGTGAGAGAAGCTTTGTAGTACTGAGATCCTAGTAGACGTTGGTTTTGTACTGGTGGGCCGGCATCCTTAACGATCCTTAGTAAAGTGGCTTTGGTTGGAGCGAAGTAAGTGGAGGGATACAAATAATGGAAAAATTAAACACAACGGATATGTGCATAAGTGTGAGGAAGGCAGTAACAAAATATCCTACAGGTAAGGGTGAACTGGGGGCCGGTCATGGTAGCCAAGCAGTCTAAGGCATGTACTGTCTTCGCTCGCTTGGAAACCAGGATCATGGGTTAGAATTCCACTCAGGGCATGGATGTTTAGTTTTGTGTGTGTGCGTTTTTCTGTGTTTGTGTACAGGCAGAGGCCTTGCAACGAGCTGATCACCCACCCAAGGAGTCATACTGAGTGTGTAAGATCTAGAAAAACCGAAATGAACGGAGAAGTTCGTGGAGGTAGGCCTAGGCCCACTGGGGCTGTAGTGCCAAGAGGAAAAAAAAAGGGTGAACTGGAATTTGTTGTGTAAATCAAGTGAAAACATGTGCATGTATCATGCTTAAAGTTTTAAAGCCAAGCAATTACTATATTTACCACCTGCTTTAACATACCACAGCTGTGCATTCTGCACACAGTGGATTTGTGTGTTTCATACAGTTCTCACAGTAAATAGCGACTGCTGACCCAAACAACATTAACCAGTTGGCCTTTGTAGCTAAGATGGCAGAGGTCATCTCCCAACCCATTTTATCTTCATTTGTGCTTTCAGTACAGTTCAGATCCAGTTTCACAAGGGCTACAGTTGATTGGTATAATGTAGAAAGTTTTGTGATTGTTATGCCAGTTTGTTGGGACGTAATTTCACCTAAAGTAATTCTTTTACCCAGAAATCGATCAGTCACACATTTTTTTACCTTCTAGTTTGACAGTTTTTTCACATTCTTTGGCGCTAGTCTGTATTTAAGATTTATGGTCAGTTTCAGTAATGAAATTAGTGCCCTCCTTTGTCACATTTTCTTCTTCGGCACTTTTAATGACCAAGCAGTTTCCCTGATTTTTATTAACATTAGGATCACCAAGAGAATATAAGGATCTGGAATATCTGCCACTTTAGTTTGGTTGGATAGGAAGGATTTACCAGTAATTCTGAAGTATGAATAGCAGTGTGAACTATGAAGCATAATAAATATTTCGCAAATTATAATTATTATTACTGTTCAAATTGTTTCTTAAAATTATTTAATGTTATGGTTCAATAACAAGTAGCCCTCTGCAGTTTATGATAACTGTCTGAAGCTTCAAGGGTTGACAGCTTGAATACAGATGTGCAAGTCAGTGACATAATTAACTACATGCAGATGAATGATTCCAAAACAGTCAAAAGAGGTAGGCAGATATATATATATAGATCAATAAGACAGATACAGACAGACAGACATACATACATTTTAACCTTTACAAACAGTCATTTCGTGCATATCTCACCGAAGTTGTATGCTGCTTATAGTAGGGTTAGGGCCCTAAAATATGTCTAATTTTATACAGAACCAACAGAATATTCAAGTCAAATATTTTATGTATTTCTGTTCTTATAAGTAGGGTGTTGAAGCAAATTAATGTATTGCTATATTGGGTTTTTGGACTTCATCCATCATCCTGGTTTTTAAGATAACTAATAAAAACATGCCGTTTCGGAAACTGGATCTGTTTCCGTCCTCAGGTGAAGGAAAAACATCTATTCTGTTGGGTCCGTTAGAAAGAGCTAGCCTCAATCACTGGACCACTGGTGTTTTTCCTTCACCTGAGGACGAAAAACAGATCCAGTTTCCGAACCGTCGTGTTTTTATTAGTTATCTTAAAAACCAGGACGATGGATAAAGTCCAAAAACCCAATATATCAGTGTGTTATACACCATTGTCATAATCCTATAGTAACTACAAATTAATGTATATATTGTAACGTGTTGTGTTACTGAGTTCGAATCCTGTCGGTCACGTGTGTAAGTCCAAACCCCACACCTGACACCAGTGTAACGTGTTTAGTCACTGAAGACGCCATTCAGATTGTTAATTAGTTTATTTAACAACCTACAAGTATCGGCTACAATTAATTATAACACAGTTGTGGGGTTTCACAATTTATAACCCTATTCACAATAATCTGTTCACTCTGTCTTCAAGAGTCTTCACGTATTAATAACGCGGGAGCTATACAAGTCTCTCTGAATTACACACTCCAAATATAACTGTACTACAGCACACACAAAGTCTTGAAAGCACACAATAAGTCTTCCACTCGCTGACTTCTTAGTTATCGCACACTGTCACATAAAATCTTATAACCACGCATTCGGGTCTTCTTACCGCGACTGCTGCTATATTTCAATTCAACTCGTTGGCTGCTGACTGGAGAACTGTTGATCACACACTAACTCTCGTTTGCTGCTCAGCCAGCTTTTATTCCGTTTGCTATTGCCTGTTGCCGGTGTCAACAGCGGCGTTGCGTTGGGGTGCCGCGTCACAAAGGGAAGCTGTGCCACATCACAGTGCAGGTGGGGCTACGTTACCGCGCGGAGGGGGGAATGGAGCGCTGACTCACCCGCCACGTCACTGCTGGGTAGGGGAGGGGTTGTCCTCCATTGCGCAACATGTCACAGTATGTATTTATTAATGTGTGACTCTTCTAACTTCAGTAGTGACCGCCATGTTATCCACCATAGATTGTTACTGGATTGTGCTGTGAGACATGTGTTTCTTAGCTTGGTCAGGTTTCATTGGTACATTTGGGTTTGAAATGAATATGTGAGACAGTTCTTAAATGTTGATAACATGTCATCCCCTTTATGAGCAGGCCTACATTTGAGGCCTTACCATTTTAATATCATATTGATTTGGTGTTCTTTCCACCACTTTTTATTCTTTTCTTCTGCCTCATTATCACAGTGGTGGTGATGTAGGTATCATTTCTATTACTGCTGGACTGTGAATGTCTTCAGAATATTCTTGCCATCTTTTCATTTGATCATCTTTGTAAGCAGAGCCCCATCTTTGTTTTTAATAGGTTGCATACCCTGATATTTCTTTAGACAATTTTCTTGTAATAAATTCCTCTTATGTCTCTTTTCCTTACAGCTTCCTCAGCTTTATTTGGTTGTTCATTCACTCACTTCCTTTTCTCTCTTCTGGTGTTCCATTTAACTGCAGTGTCAACTGCCCAAGATTCTTCTTGAAATTTTTTTTTCTATTGCTAATGGGGTGGGACTAAGTCCCTTGTACTGTGGCTGCTTCCGGCCTATTGTATCGGCTCCAGATGATAGGTGAGGGTGATTGTGGAGCAATTGGTGGAATGAAGATTGGCAGGGAAAATGAAGTACTCGGAGAAAACCTGCCCCAGCGCCATTTTGTCCACCACAAATCCCACTTGACCAGATCCGGGATTGAACCCGGCCCACCGCAGTGGGAAGCCAGCAACTAACCGCTTGAGCTATGGCGCAGCCATTCTTGTAATTTAAGTTTTTTGTTTCTTGTTTTGTACGTGTTTAACATCATTTTTATGTGTTTCCGTTTCTGAAAGTTTGTCCATGCTTCCTCAGGCAACCTATCATTTTTCTGTATTTCTCTAAAACCTAAAATATTTTCAGCAGTTTCCAAATAAATGCCTTTAATTTCACTCCACGTTTCTTCAATATCTTTATCATCTGAACATTTAAGAGCTTAAAACAAATTTCTTAACTCCATTTTATATTCTTGTTTAAGTTGAGCATTTTCTAGTTTCTTTACATCTGGTCTCTCATGATGTCATGTTTCTTCTTGTTAGCAGTGATTTTCATTCATAAACTTGCTACAACTAGGTGATGTTCACTACCAATATCTGGTCCTTGTTTTGTGCGAACATCTAGAAGGGATCTTCCGAAAGACAGAATCTTTGCAATATGGTCTATCTGATTTAGAGTTAGAAGGTCAGGAGAAAAACAAGTATTTCAGGTTGCAGGAAATATCAAAATATGTGAAGCATTTTTGTCTTAAATTTAAATTTTGTAGTATTTTCAAAAGTTCAAACTTTCAAACATTATAAAATTTGATGGTCAGTCACATTTTTATATTTAATATTTGAAAACACATTTTAAAGACTGTTTACAACTCTTCTTTGATTATTTTCAATTTCTTCAGTATAGCTCATGGTTCCATTTCACTATTCTTAGCAGACTATAAAAAGATGTATGGGACATGGAGGTTAGTGTTCCTGACAATGCTAGTCATTGGCACTAAATGGAGGTGAGAGGCCAGCTTCATGCTGCAGTCAGTTTACTCTGAGGTGAAAGACCACATTACTCATTATAAGGATTGCTGGATGGACTCAGCAGATGTAGGGAGACATTCCAGTACACCACATGAAATGCATCCTGTTTGTCAAATCTGTGAGACCTTCTATGATCAAGGTATCCAGCAGCCAATGCAGTGTTGGGGAAGATGTGTGGCCTTGCAGGGGGCATATGTACAGAAGGACTAACTCACATACAATTTTTTGCATGTGTGTTTCTGTTTCTTCTGGGTGATGACTTCCCCACATACTGCTTACCAGTATGAATCACCTGTCATGACTGGGAGTTGTGGGGTTTTCATCAGTAATTCCAAGTGTGTATAAACATGCATATCAAGGGCCACAGAGAGACAACTGAGCATGCTGAATAATATATATATATATATATATATATATATATATATGTCAAAATATTTGGTAAAAGAAAGTAAAAGAAGTTCATATGGTGAGAAGCTTCATTGCTTATCACAACCATAAGATACAACTTCTTTATTAAAAACGTCACAACACAACTATATCAAGGACAGTGCCTAGCTGGGTTTTGCTACATGTTTCGGCAGAACCAAACTAGGCACTGTCCTTGATATAGTTGTGTTGTGATGGTTTTAATAAAGAAGTTGTATGTTATAACACAACAGGATGCATGAAATAAAAAAAAAAGCAACCATAAGACATAAAACCAGAATACCAGTTTGTCATTTACAAATATAATATGGCCATATAACACAAACACTTCAAAGATAGATCACCCAGGAAGTAGGGGTACACTGTTTCTTGAAGTGGTTCAGTGATCATTTGATTGGGGTTATGTCTCTGTATGACTTAAGAACAGTTTTCCTATAGCATACATAAAAAAACAGTTCTCATGTTGTACAGTGATGCTTTATTGTCCATATTAAAGTTTCAATTTGCCATTCTATGTGCCTGCTGTTGTATAAATAAGCAACATGATTACATTGTGATGTGTCTGCAACACACAAAAGCCTCAGAATATAACAAGTTGTAGTAATTTAGTTGAGCATAAATCTACCTATAATAGCAAATAATCCTGAATATGACTATAACTTAACTCTGTGGCCTGCAGCAAACTATACCGACTGAGTGGCCACCACTTGTCGGTGAACTTAGTGCCAACTTTTGTGGATAGAGGGTGTCGCGTGGTCAGTGCAGCGAATCCCCACGGCCATTAATCTCAGTCTTCTAAACAGGAATATGATCATTATATAAAATTTAAAATGTTTTTCAACAAACCACACTGATATTGTGAAGACTCTTATTATTGCATGGCTTACAATTATTTGCAGTTACTGTTCGCAGTTGCTCTGTGGGGTAGAGTACTTCTCTTCCCACCAGTGTCCTTTTCTTGTATATGACCCTGCTTGTTAATTTTAAGATTTTTTGAACTGGTAAATGCTCTGTTACATATTTCATATATATCTATAGGGGTTCTTTTATGATGATACTTGCATAAGCTGGACACTGGCCTGAATAAAATCTTTCTTGCTAAGTATGTCCTTTCTTGTTTGTGAATTCGGGTATGTGTCCTAAAATCGTTAATATTTGAAAAGCATTTATTGCATAATCTGCATACATGAGTCTTCTCTTCACAGTGTAAATGTAGATGCTGGGTGAACTGATACTCATCTACAAAAGTCTTGCTACACAGAACACAGCGATGAAGTCTATTTCCAGTGTGGGTTGTGACATGCATTCTCAGAATGTCTGCATTTGCAAACGATTTATTACATAATTTACATCGATACGAACAGTGTCCAGCAGGAAATCTATTTTGTATTTTCTGATTATGTGGACTGTCAAATGCCCCGTTATTATTATCATTATGAAATTTATATATATTACCGCTGGCATATAACTTTGATTCGGTATGAATTTTTACATGCTTTTTAAGTTTATGGGAATCGTGAAAAACTTTACCGCATATATTACATTTCTGGTACCTTTCTCTAAGGTGAATTTCGTAATGTAGCTTAAGTGTACTAGCATTGAAAAATGATTGACTGCACAAGTTACATGTGTATACTTGTTCTGCTCGACAAAGAAAGAACGAATGTTGAGACACTGAAGATGTGCATGCGTCATCACTTCTCAGATGCTTCTCTTTCGATCTTGGCAGTGGCAGATTCACAAGTTGGCTGGAATTCTTCACTACTTCACTGTATGAGTGTGTCTGTGTGCTGTACTTTGTGGGTGCTGCAGTAAGACCACTGTTAGTAGTACCATTCTTTATCACCAAACTGAAAGGAACAAACCTCTCTAATAACTGACATAGTAAATATACGGCTTCAGTTCAGGCATTCCTCTATCAAAAGTACAATTCCAACTTTAAAATCTTATCCTTTATAGTCCTTTCAGACCCAAGAGATCATAAACATATACATTTTGAGAAAATGGTTTCCAGTAGAAAATAAGATACAATTTTTTCTAATTCAATTTGTAATGCATTCTTATGACACAAATATAAACTGAGAAATCACCGTTACTGAACAGCAAGACTTACATATTTAGAAGATCTTACTGTTGATAAGGGACTGCTGTACTTTAATTGTACAAGTATATTTTCCCCTTTTCTCACAACTTCATAATTTATTTACATCCATAAACTGTTACACAAGTACAACTGGACAAATACTACAACTCAACAACTCCTAAAAATGTACAAAATGATATATAAGACTAAGGTAGGCCGCACACCGGAATACGTCAAGACACGATGTCTGCAACATGATGCAAAGAAGCACAGTTGAAACGAATGAGATTATGAAAACTGCCGCACATGATCTGAGTCATAATGCAGACACAGACCCCACAATCTGTCTCATTTGCTGTTGTCATCAAAGATTTATGGTAAATGTTGAAACAGTTTCTTACAAGCCGAGAGACCACAAACTCTGAAGTGTATACTGACCTGCTTTCTTCCAGGTTCTTAGGCTCTGCAGTTGCACACTGCATTACTTCATCTTTAATTCGTTTTATATATAACTTCCTGATATCTTGTTCCTTTATACTAAGATCATCATCAGCTTTCTCCTTAATTTGTGTTGTATCTGTGGTCTGAGAAACGTGATCACCAGTATCATCAGCACGATTAATCTGTGGACTATCCTGAAAAGAAATAAAATGCTGTGAACAATATCATTGCTTTACTTATGTGCTATTTCTGCATCTATACTAGAATGTCAGTGCACACAAAAGCCAGTTTATGTCTTCTATATTACACTTGCAGAGAATGTAGTTACTTTCAGTATCAGAAAGATGGCGTTAACCTTCAGATGGTCTCGACACATCATTCATAATATATGCAGACTTCCACGTCTTTCATAATTATAAATGCTTGGGTTATGCTTACCTGAAAAGTTTGGGAAAGGAATAATGAAGGGGCAAATCAATGAAAGGGGTTCGAATAGGAATTTGGAGGAAAGGAAAAAAGGGGTGATGACAAAATAAATTATTTTTCTAGAGACACTGCACCTGTGCATGTGCCAAGGAGTTCCAATCAGATGATATGATATACTTCATATAGCAAATCAAGAGATTTTCTTATGAATCTTTAACAGACTGTATAGCAGGTTAGTAACAGTTTAAAAACAATTCGAAGAAATTTGATTGATTGATTGACTGATTTATTTAACATCCATAACTGTTACATTATGTACAATTGGACAAGTCAGTTTTTTAAAAAAATATATGAGATTAAATATCACATCAAATGACTAATAATATAAAAAACCATAGAAAAATAACATAATAAATCCTTTAAATATGATAAAACAGTGGATGAGAATAATAAGGCAACAAAAGCTAAACTATAAAATACATGCAATAGCTAATTTCTCTATTTAAACTCTTTTTATACACTTGATGAATATTTTAAGAGAGAATGATTATACAACTAATGTTTTCTAATCTAACTATTTGGATGATATGGCCTACCAGTATGTGGAATGGCAAGTTATGAATTTGACAGTGGTTTTCCCGTGACCTGTGTGTGTTATCCTGACAACTTGGGCTGTCTGTACGAGGCCTGATTGTATGTTTTATTGGACTAGGGCCAAATGATATGTAGTCATCATGAAATTTTAATTTTGTAATTTTATAAATGTAATGTTTTTATATCTTGGATTTGTTATATATGTATAAGATATTCTGTTACTTTTGATGAAAACTTTTATCTTAAATTTNCAGGAATCTTCGGGGGGGGGGGATAAAGGGCTGCTGGCATAAGGCTGACAGCCACACTGCCATCTGTGAGCTGTCTAGAACATGTGAGAGCCTTGACATCTCACAACCTCATGGGCCTGTTACAGGAATAGCTTTTCTTTTCGTGACAGTGGGTGACTGAGTTTGTTGCATAAACTTTCAGTCAAAGTTGACTATCTTGAGCTTAACATCACATGCATCAGTAGTGGGTCTTTCCTTATTTCATTTCTAAGGAGTCCTGATTCAAAGTGCAGGGGTAGATATCTGAAGAGATTTGATAGGTTCCCTCAAACAGGCAAATATCTGGAGTTGTGTGTGTATAAAGATCAGGGATGGTATAATACTTTTATACTCAGGAGATGGATGGAGTTATTTTGTAGATATTGTGGGCCCAAGGCTTTCACAAGAAATATTCCACAGTTCAAAAGTTGTTAAAATTTCCATTGGTTATTTATGAGTGGGCACTGATATGAAAATAACAGTAATAATAATTGAATTATGTGCCCCTCTTGATATTAGCATATCCCGTTGAAAGTACTGCAAATATTTACAGACAAGGGATCCCAGAACTTGCCTTCATTTCAAAATACAAACCAGAAAACTGCTAGAAATCTTCATGATTTGATCATGGTTTTTCTTCATACCACTGTCCACGTGATTGTAATTGTGTATAAACACTGAAGCCAGTTCACTGTCTCCAGAGTTGTCATCACATAGAAAACTGTAAAGAAATGGCATGGCTGTTATAGGTTCACAGAGAATAATTTAAAAGAATGGAATAAATGAAATACGTGCTTTTATATTCTGTGTGGAAAACAAATCTGTTTCCCTATTTGTGAAAGCCAGTGCAGAGACACGCAGGAAACTGTGTCCCCACATTTTCTCCAGACCCAAGCTTAAGTCTCTTCAATAGCTGTACTGATGAAAACATTATTTGCCCTAAAGCTTGGCCAGATTTTATAACTCAGGGGTAATCTCATTATTAGTATTGAAAAATGTAATGCTTGGCTTGTTCTACATAGTAGAAAGTAAAGCTATCCCTGTAACAGGCCGTGGAAGCCCACAGGGTTGTGAGGTGTTTAGGTTCCCACATTTTCTAGACAATTGGCTCATAGATGGCGGCTAGGTTGTCAGCCCTACGCGCCAGCCGCCCTTTACCCCCAAGCATATTCTTGGTACTCATTTCTGTTAGAGGCTGAGTCGACCCCAGGGCCATAATGCGGCTGGAAGGATTAGGTCAATTGAAAAAAATCCAATGACCTCATCGGGACTTGAACCTGTGACCTTCCAGCTTGTAGCACAGTGCCTCAACCAACTACGCTACCATATGTCCCACTTGTTTTATATATGAATCATAATTTTTTCTTGTCCAAAAGAGAATGCACTCTGATGTGCTCTTTGAGTGACTTTTTTTAATTTACTGATTGTCAGAATGTTCTTTCCTGAAGACCAGACTCTGTCTATGGGAGAACCTGAAAGTGCCAAGACATATCCTGCATAATATTATAACGTTTTACTGACCTACCTTACATCCTGTACATCCTCTACAAATATTTCATGTTCTTCAATTTTAATTTCATCCTTCACTTCACACTTAACATTAACATATGCATCATTTTGGTGCAGTGAATGTTCTTGTGAGATGTTTTTCTCCATTTCATTCTTAATCAGTGGATCATCCACAGAATAGTTTTGGTGCTGAAGTTCTTTATTCATTTCTTTCTCAATTTTTACAACAGTACTGTTACTGACAGCTTTGGCAGTTTCTCGTCCATTCATGTAGCCTTTCAGTACTTCAACTTCTTTTGTATTGGCATATGGAGAACAGTCTTCAGTCAATGCTCGATCAAGCTGACTGGTGCTTAGGTCAACTAGAAGTACAGCTTCAGTGTTATCCTGAAAAAGAAACGTACAATATATATGATGGTATTCCAAACTGGAAATGGTGGCAGCACTGAGTGTGTGATGGACGGAACTCTTTGAGAACATTTTGTCTAGTCCAGAAAAGATATGAACTTTATCCTTATGGCGATCAGCAATTTGAGAAAAAAAGACAAACAAAAGGCATTGTAAAATAACGGTATGCCGTTCATGGTAGCCGGGCAGTCTAAGGCATGCACTGTCTTCACTCACTCAGAAGCCGGGATCATGGGTTCGAATCCCACTCAGGGCATGGATGTTTGTGTGCGTTTTGCTGTGTTTGTGTACAGGTAGAGGCCTTGCGACAAGCTGATCACCCGCCCAAGGAGTCCTACCGTATGTGTAAGATCTAGAAAAACCGAAGTGAACGGAATAGTTCATGGAGGTAGGCCTAGGCCCACTGGGGCTGTAGTGCCACGGAAAAAAAAACTAACAGCATTACTTATATGTAGGGTTCGGCAGAGGCATTTGGTTGCTTGTCGATGAGTGAAAAATCAGGGCCTATGAATGGAAAAATCTTTAAAATTTATTTGTTAATATGTTCTCCTGCTCTCTTTCTTAATTTCACCATAGATGCTGAACAGTATATTTGAAAAGTAAATGTTATACACATTATACCACATACAGAACAGTATTTTGTCTTGTATGAGCAGCATGTTTGTCAGCAATCTGTAGGCTAACATGAATGGGTGCACTTTGTCTTGTGGAGAAATGTCTGGTGGGTAGAATTTTTGTCACTGGTGAGATGAGCCATTATTTATTGAGACACTTGTATGCCTTCACGTGTTATCACAGATATGCAGAGCAAATATTTAAGTATTATTTGGGAAGCAAACATGGAGGAAATGCGGGCGCATTTAATGATAGAAAAGCTATAATTGCAGCTGAGACTGAACTGAAGAGCATGTCATATCTATGTCTTTTTTACATTTTAACTTGTCCTGTTCCACTTACCAGTTGATATACTGATGGTGAATCTGGCTTACTGTCAGTCTCGCCATGTGGTTTATGGCTATTTCCCCGGTCCAGACTGGAAAAATGATACAAACAACAATGATGCTGCCAATTGCTCATACATGTTATGAAATTCATCTAAATTATATTTAAAAATTCAGTTCCTACCTCACAGGAAATGTGCTAATGTCTTCATTATGAATATGTATCAGTTAATGGTGTTGTGGGAAATAATCACTATTTATTCTGAGAATCATACTAACTAACTGGAGCCGAGCCCTTCTTGAGAAGTGGTCAGTTGTGGAGCCACTCCAGAATTCCCCAACATTTTAGGGGTCTTGAAGGTGCATTACCATGTTCACAGGAACCCTCCACTTGTACCTATCCTCTGACAGGCATACAAAATCCATAAATATACTTACTGTTGGGAAAAAATGCAGAGATTTTTATTGTTAAAGCTGCTGGTACATATAGTAACCTATGTGTTTGAAATGGTGAAATGGTTAGACATATTATGGATATCAAGAAACATGTAATGGAATGTAAGAATTAATGTGCTTGAACACTAACAAAACATATGAAAATAATGCAGTAATCAAGAAATTTACTCTCAAAGTACACGATACATTCATGCTGGGTAATATATTGTGACGTACCGCCAGGAAGGCTGGACGTTAAGACGTCCATCACTGGTCAACGGCTAGCAATTCTTAGGCAGCAATGCCTAGGAAATCCTTCCCCTGCCAGATGAAAGTCTAAAAGTGGGGTTTCCACCATCGTTTGTAACGAAATGTATTCCCGTGGCAACAAGAGATTTGTTGCATAGCAGCGAGTGCAGGATACGACAGTTCATATCCGACAAGAGACCAGATAGTTCGTATCTGACAAGACACCAGGAGAGTTCATATCCAATGAGAGCTACAGACAGTTGAGCTCCAAGCAGAGCAGAAGAGACCTCACCATGATTAGCAGTGCGAGAGTGTATAACACTGAAGAGGAAACGTTATAAGTGCGAATAATTGTAATTGCGAGCGTAAACAGTGATCATCCAAATCTGAAACCCACGTAAATTTTCTTGCTGCGTTACCTAGGAAACGCGTGACAATACTATATAAAACAGGGCTTGAAGAATTATGGTAACTTCTAGATGCCAAACTAAAAATTCATGACATCCTAGAGTCTTCAGAAATATATTACATATTAGTTGTACATAAGAGACCAAATCTTGCCCCTTGACAAAAATGACTATCATGAATTTCTGCTTGTTAGCTCACAAAATCAGCTTCATTCAGGTGACTTGATAACTACTGTGTGAAGACCTGTATATCCCTACACTGCGTGATCCATGTATCATTGGCATACTAACTTTATTTCTCCAATGTTCTCAGAATATTTGTAATCATGATCTTCTTCTGTCCTTTCTCTGTTGTCCTTTATCCGTGTCTGTTGCGACATCCATGTTTTTATGGCAGCTGTAATCCTTCTGTAATGTCTGCTGTGCCTGCATTTCTTTGTGAAATATCTATGATCTTAGAACATGTTTAAGATTCTGATACAGTTACTCACACTTTTTCTTCATTACTGGGGATAGAAAGTGTACTTCTAAGACAGCGTGTGTCTTTTGATGCTGTTCTCTTCCTCAGCCTTGCATCAAGAGTGTCATTTGATTTTTCTGCCTTGAAAAAAGAGAACAGTTACTAATGTCAACAGGCATAACAGTGTAAATCCATGTGCATGTCGAATTTTGCTACCTTTCTTTTTCATTTATTAAATTACACTCATACAAATTCAATTGCTAGACATTTTACTATGAGCTACTGCCAGTGCAATTCGAAATGTGTCTCCTTTCAGCCTAATATGCATATGACAAGTATTTTCTGCCAGTATATTAGCAGAAATACAGTAATGTGTAAGCATTCAGAATCAGTATTGGTGTCAGGCGTTAACAAGTTGCGCAGTAGCATCAGTCACTGTATATCTCTTTTACATCCTCGTGATAATGTCAAATTGTGGAACAGATAGTGCAGAAATTAAGAAAGGACACTCCTCTCAACAAAGTAGAATTCGGAGGGGACTTTCAGTGGTTTATGCATTTGTTTTCCTTCCACTTGAACACTCGAGCATTTCAGAGCATTCTAATACTAGCAGAACTTACTATTTTTATTTTGAGAGCCGGAACAGCTTCTTCAATTCTCTGCAGCACAACTTTTGGAACTTTTGTTGCAAGGTCATATAACACACGTAATGCATGTCGTTCGAGTAATGTGGTGGACCTGTGTGCCATGCTACAGATTATAAGCTTTGATGATTTCCTGCAAAATAGAACATTGTCATTAACAAAGGACTAACAGCCTCCACAATCCCAGGGAATAGATGCAGCAGAATTTTAGATGACTAGGTAGATCTGTCCTAGTGCATAAACACAATGCCATAGAAGAATGCAGAGAGATTTTTAAGCTATTTAAAAATTACCATTGAGTTACACAAGTCATCTCGAGTTGGTTTGCTGGATTAGTGATAATACCCCGCTTTTATAATAGGTATTCTGATATAATTATACTAGTAACATTTTACACATCTGTAATAATATTTTATTGCTGTATGTCTTATATTGTAGTTTAGATGATGGGCAATTTCACTTAATAATTTGGCACAGTTGTCAGGGAAGGCCATGTTACTGTTGTAACTTCATGTAATTTAAATCCCCCCAACAACATGGAAGCATTGATTGTTTTATGGTTTCTAACTGTCTTTCATATGAAATTTGGAAGATTCCTATAATACAGTTGGCAGGAAATTGTTCGCACATTGCTAGGAATTTTAAACTTCCAATACCTGTAAGATATAATATGTTGAGTGAAGTAATTTTTGTTTGTCCTACATACATGTGGTCAGAAATGCTGCGTATTTGATATACCTGTATTGTCTTCCAAGGCATATCAAATGGTCGACAAAGCCACCAAAATCACAAGTCCAACAGAGATAACTTGAACAGTTAACAATATTAACAATGTAAGAATCTGTAATGAAAGCCATGATACAGAGAACTTCGTACAGTGCTACAGCCTTCACTCTCTAAATTATATAACTTTGCTTTGACCTTGTCAATTCCAATTGAAATGGTAGTTATATCAGTAGCATTTTCAACATATGCCAAAAAAAAAACAGTATTTAGGTTAGAGATTAGATGCACAGTTTTACTGTTAATTTTTTCTATGGCTGGTATGCTGGTGTGCACAGGTTTGCCTTTTCATGGGTTACTCATATTTTGATTCGTACAAGACTGTGATGTGGATTTTAATTCTGATTAGGTTCAAACTGATTGCATTTGTTTATACATTATTTTCTTGGAATTTATTTTATGCATTTTTTTAAAAGATTTTAATAATGTAAATAGCCCAGGATAGTGCAAGGGGCAGAGAATGTGATTAGGGAGAAGCTGGATACCAGTCTCCAAGTTTCCCTCATTTCATTATATGCTATATGAAATTACATTTTGATGACTATTATAATACATACTCAGCACAGCAAATGAAATAATATAAAAATATGTAAGATTTGAGGCTTTCACGGCGGTGACTATGTTAACACTATGGTGTTAACACCACATATACACGGTGCCAAATCCCAGAAGACTGCTTTCTTCAATATAAAAATAGCACAATTATACCATATTGGTATATTTATTGAGTGTAACAGAATGCTGCCTTTTTAAAATATCGTTATGTAACCAAAATCAACTTTTGATTTCATAGTCTTTTTTTTTTGTTGCACAATTTTGTGTTGTTTTACTCTCCAATGATGTAATATTGGTGTATTTTATACTTGCGATCTGTTGCAATAATTATTGTTGGCTGTATATCACTAGCTTTTGAACCATGTAAAAGTGAGATGGAAAAGCAATGGAATTAAAATGTGCAAGGTCCTCGAAAATAATTCCGTTAAGTGTTCGCTGCCATAAAAACAAGGTACTGTACTTTGCCTTGGAGAAAAACTGTACACATACACACTTAAGTTCCTCCACCATACTGGAACACGAAGTGTAGTAATTTAATTACAAACCTTCGCCTTCCTGTTCTGAAAGTAACGTCACAGAACTTAAAACGAACACAGATTTATCGCAATGAAATGTGTATATATATTACACGTTTAACAAAGTCGGACACTTCTCGCTACCCTGATCATTTTTAGATACACGGAAATCAGGGTGCCCAACTTTAGTGTACATCAGCAAACACAAACTCTAAGCCAGGTAGGTCATAACTAATTGCCAAATACTCATATGTTCGGTCCATAGCGAGATTCGAATGAAGTCATTGATGTTGGGAATATGAGAAGTTGTTTATGTTTTTAATTCTTCACCGTATGTATGGAATTGTGCAAATAATTATTCCACAAAGTACTTTATGTGAAAGAACAAGAGTTTTGAGAAATGTAGACACTGTATACGGCCTTTCTTCAGACAAGTTCGGCACCACGTCCGGCCGCAAATTTCGTTGTAAGTTGAAGAAATAGTAACTTCGGTTTCAGGGCTACGACACGATATAGCGTAATAGGTTTGCACAAACTTTTGGGCAACTTCCTATTTGCACCTGAAAATTTTAGCATGAATGGCAGCATACTGCCTTTATCTCCAGTCCCAGCCTTGGTGATGGGGACAGAATGTTCCTCCGAAACGTTGGTATGCATCTACCAAGCTGGACCGTCTTGAAGCGTAATGTGGCATTGAACATAATTTTACCAAAAAATTAAATATTGAATATGGAAACAAAATTTTATTAGAGTCAAATGAGGTAAAATTCTTGGGTATGACACTGGATAACACAATATCTTGGAAAAAGCATATAGATTCAATTATAGGTAAATTAAATAAAGCCTGTTACATAATTAGGAAAACCAAACAGTATTTAAATATTGATGCCCTTAAAATGGTGTATTACGCCTTTTTCCACTCAGTGATGTCTTACGGTTTGATTTTTTGGGGAAATAGAACTCTCAGTATGTGCGTTTTTAAACTGCAGAAGAGAGCTGTTCGAATAATGGTGGGAGCTGGAAACAGAGATTCATGTAAAAAAATCTTTAGACAATTGAAAATATTACCACTGCCCTCTCAATATATATATTCTTTGATGATGTTTGTAGTTAATAATATGGATTTATTTGCAGAAAATTCAGATATATATACAACTGTAACAAGAAATAGTTCAAATTTGCATCTCCCCTCGTCAAATCTAACAGCATTTCAGAAAGGTCCACAGTATTTTGGAATCAAAATTTATAATAGTCTTCCACGCAAAATAAAACAGTTATCCAAAAACAAAAATCGATTCAAGAAAGCACTATTACAATTTCTCCATTTACATTCATTTTATGGTATTGATGAATTTTTTGATTACACGGTTAAGAAGATTGATAATTGATTTTATTGGGATTAAATACTTAATTAATGAAAAGTTAAATTACAAGTTTTATAATTTTAAAATTATGTTTACATAAATATTTTAACATGTATTATATTTTTTGTAATTATTATATTTAATTGTTATATTGGACTATTGTCTATATCCTGAGTCTTACGAACTTGTAAAGGATTTTTGACATGTAAATAAATGAAATGAAAATGAAATGAAATGAACAGGACTTGCATCAAAGATTTTGTGACCAATCTGTCCCTATAGTACTATTTATGAGGAATGGAATTCAACAAAATTTATGAGGATTGTATTATATAAAAATACAAGTGAGCATAGAGACAATTTCTTGGACTTATTTGCTGGCCAGTATATTCATAAGAAAAGTAAAAAAAATAAATCAGGATACCAGACGAACTGAAATAAAATATAATTGTCTTCATAATGCCATCCATGTATTTTACATTGCATATTATTTTCTGTTTATCAGTGACACAAGGAACTTTCATCTGCTGGATGTTAGTTATATCCTTCAGGGTTACACGATTCTTCTAAGAGAGATATATATACTTTGGATATTTCAGGGATATAGTCTCTGCCTAATCTGCTGCTGCTCAATGAAATTAAATGGGGTCAAATTCAGAGGTATCTTATATTCATAGTTTTCTTAAGATGATGTGAAACGATGTGAAATGTACACCCCATTAATTTTTCAGTTTCTTCTCTTTGTATATTTTGAGACCATGATTGATACACATATGTTGGATCAATTAGCTGTTGATATATTTTCTGTATAAACGTTTTCTCCTCCATGCTGTAAAGTCAATTACCCTTTTAAAATGCATTTAATATTTTTTTTTGTTATTGATTGATTTATTTCGTCACTGTAGATCATTGTACATGATATAGGACAAGTCAAGTTAATTCTGAATATTAACAATTTAATATATGAGTAAGATTAAAATTACAATAGTTGATTACAGCTGATTGTTTACAGTTGATTACAATTTAAAATTAGTTAGATATTCTTATTTGTGGAGAATTTGATGGAATGAAGATTGGCAGGGGAAACCGAAGTACTCGGAGGAAACCTGCCCCAGCGCCACTTTGTCCATCACAAATCCCACTTGCCCATATCGCAGTGGTGGGAAGCCAGTGACTAATCGCTTAAGCTATGGCGTGGCCTTAGAATAATGATATGGATAGCTAGTGTAATGTTCACTGCAGAGTGATGTGCAAGTTGAATACTTCACCAGAATGTACTGTATGTCATTCCATATCATATTCTCAGCCAAATCATTTTTAATTTGAGTTCATGTCCTATGAACAAGGATAAAATGAGACACATTATAGTAAATAAGGAATTGTTCACATTCAACTCACAAATGCATAATTGTAGTACCAGATTTATCTGTGATCTGCATTATCCGCAAACTAGTCTGACACAATTCCAAAAAGGAATATGTTACATGGGGGTAAAGATCTTTAATCATTTGCCACCAAAAATCAAATCTATGTCTTAATGACTTGAAAAATTTTAAAATTCAGTTGACAACATTTTTATTGCAAAACTCTTTTTATACAGGTGATGAATTCTTTAGTAACAAATTTGCCTAGAAATAAGGATAATAGCATAAACAATTTTAATATTGCATAATTTTATGTATAGTGATGTAAGACTGTAAATTTAACACATGTTTCTTTTTATACAGGTGATGAATTCTTTTGTTATATTTTAGTGTCCTGTTGCACTGATTTAAGTCCATGATTTATTTAAACCGTCTTGCAGTGCATACACTCATCTATCTCCTTCTCTCACTCGCACTACATGTTTCGGCATAAAAATGCCATCTTCAGGTCTTACTCAATCCACGCCAAACTAGTTCATTGCATGCCTTGTCCTCACATTAAAATAACTAAAATATATATCTATCATATACATTGACAAATGCCAAACGTTAAAAATATTAAAATTGTTCAGGATTCCTCATCGCTACGTCGCACCTCACTACGCCAGTCACGCCCATCTTCCTCTGTTGGAGCACTCCTTCACTATTGTGTGTGTGTGTGTGTCTGTAACGTGAATTTTTTATTCATTAGTACCGCGTTCCATACTTTATTTATTACTTGTGGTATTATAATTTTTTAATAATACTGACTGTGCTTTTGTTGCGTCTTGCTCCTGTGACTGCGTGTGTTATACTGTTGGGCCTGCTGGTTATGTGTGTGTGTTCTGTCTTCGTTTTGAGTGAGTTATGATGTTGTGGGGGTAGGGGGTGGGGTGTTGTTATGTTGTTCTGTGTAGATAGTGTTTAATTCGTGGTATATTGGGTTGTATATTTCTTTATTTATATTATTCATGTGTGTGTTTTTCTTTGTCGTTCTATATATATGGTAGTTCTCCAATGTGTTCAAGTATTGCCCCTTCCTACTTGTTGCTATGATATCCATAGTGTTTTCTATAATACCATATGCATGTCCTGTGTTTAATATGTGTTCTGAGTACCCTGTATTGCTGTTATTGTGTCTTATGTCATGTATGTGTTCTTTATATCTGGTAGTAAATTTCCTCCCGGTTTGTCCTATATATTCCTTGGAGC